TATGTTTTGTGGAAGTAAGAATTGACATAAAAGTTTAAATGATAAGGAGGGATAAGATAAGGGATATGAAAGGAATGTGAGAGCATCAAGGAAAAAGGTAATGGAAGAATTAAAGTAATGAAGTAAAGGTTATGTTAGCACAAAAGATTTATTGAAGAGGTGATATGTGAAAATGAATAGTAGATGTGTAGACAATATCTTATCTCCTTGTGCAATGAAAATTCGAGGACAAATTTTCTAAAAGGGGGGAGATTTGTAACATCCCAAAATACGAGTTAGTGACTAAATTGTAAAACTTCAGAATTTGGTGATTAAAGTAGGATGATTGAATAGTTTAATGATTTATCTGGAAGGATTGTTAGTAATTATTAAGTGAATTGAGGGAAAAATGGTCATTTGACCAATAAATAAATTAAAAGGTGATAATGATGAGATATATACACGTGAGAAATGAGGGGGAGAGGAAACAAAGTTTCCAGAATTCTCTTCATCTTTCTCTTTTCTCTCCATCGTGAACCAAGCTAGAGCAAAGGTGAGTTTTCTGATTAGTTGGTTATTTTATAAATTAAATGTTAGGTTTTGATCATTAGATGATAACTAAGCTTAAGGAAAGCTTAAGTTGTCTTATAATCAAAAGATGAAGAAGTTATAAGAGATTAAAGAAAATGGGGTTTTAAATGAATTTATGAAAAAGAGTTGATAAGTTGAATTTGAAGTTAAATTTGACTTGTCATCATGCTAATTAAGGAATATGAAGTGTTAGAATTGTATTTATAACATATTAGAATTTGAGTATGATTCTTGAATTGCATATGAGGGATAGGATTTTGAGGTTAAAGATGATTTTCATGAATATAAGTTGGTTTAAGTAATGATGATTGGGTTTAATGACATGATAGGGGTTTAAAAGAGAAGAATTGAGTGAAGAATTGATGATTTTCGGGCTTAAAATACAATTTCTGGGCTATGTGCATCGATGCACATTCAATGTGTACCGATGCATCAAGGATAAATCCCAGAAATTGTTCAAGGTGTATCGATGCACTTCTTTAAAATAAAAACATCGAATGCCATCAGTGAATCGATGCACAAGTAGTGCATCGATGCACCCCCCTTAAATGCAAACATTGAATAGGATTTATGTATCGATGCATAGATAGTACATCGATGCACCCGTCAAGGGATGCATTGATACATGGTGTAGTGCATCGATGCATACCTTCATTAAAAGATAAAAATAGCTTTCTTTTTAGCCTAAGGAATTATAGTTTAGAATATATCAATTAGTATACTAATATGTATCAATGTATTACTATGTAGGTTTAGAACGTAATCTCGTTCCAGAATAATTGAAGGATTAGAATCGAGTCAAAGCAAGGCTAAGGTGAGTACATATTAGAAGTATGGTACAATAGAATAAGACTTGTGATAAGTCTAATTCCTATGTTTATTTTCATAGCACAATAGTTATGAACATGCATACATGATAATTATTATGATACATGCATAAAGTATATATGTTCATATGATTTGATAAATGATATATGTGAATAGATTCAAATGCACAAGTGACATGGTAAGTGATATGAGTTATGTGATCACAAGAGAAATGACATGAATACATGAACATATGAAACATAAGAATAATGCCCATGGTATACGATATGAGAACTATAGGTATAGTTGACATGCCAAGAGTCGAGGGTTCTATATGGTCCTTCAGGACATATATGTATCCTTTGGAACATTTACAGGGTCTTTTGAGACAGATTTGATCCACTGGAATATGTATATGGTTCTTAAGGAGTGGTCCTTCGGGACAAGTACAATACATAGGTCATTCAGGACAAAATTTCATAGCCCCTAGTGGGACCCCATACGAGCTGTGGTGACAGCAATAGTGCACAACCTCAATGTACTCGAATACCTTGAGTTCTCAAAAATGTACATGAGCCTATAAAAGGTTATCAAAGGTAATTGCATTGTTATAGTTATATGTTACCATATTATTTTTGTTTACATTGAATTGTACATGACATGATTGAATGGATAGATTGCATGTTCATATTCATACTCATACGGAATGCATTATTATTATATTTATATGTCTCACTAAGTCTATGACTTAGCGTGTAAGTGATTTACACGTAGGTACCAAGAATCAGGAAGAGCGGAAATAGGGTGGTAAGAACAGCAGCACTGCTAGAAGATAAGATCAGAAGTAACAGATAAAGTATGTCTTTTGTTGTGTATAGTGTTGGCATGTAAGAAAAGTGTATGTTACAAATGCTCTGATCAGTTTTGTCTTGTTTTGGTTAACTTGTGTAAAGTAACAATGTTATTTTAATGAAAGTTTTAAATTTCCTTGATTTTTCGTCAAGATTCAAAGTTTGAAAAGTCAATGTGACACCTCGGACTCGTATCCGGGTCGGGTACGGGTTGATGGTGTTACAGTTTTGTATCATGTTTTCAACATTCTTGCATTTATGAAACTCTTAATGTTTGTCTAGATTAGTGATTATACTGTTGGACATTGTAAGCTCAGCCTTCAAATGTTTTTCGTTAGCAGGTCAATAGCTGAGTAATTTGAGGAGCATCATCACAGTAGGACTTCTATCATCTTCTTTAGAATACTATATTGTAAGCATGTGTATTCATGGAACCTTACTTATATATTTGAGTTGCAAACCCTTAAGATGTATTATTTTGATTTTAAATTATGGACCTCAGAGCTCTGATGTATGTTTTATGATACCATTTAGAATGTTTAAAAAGAAAATAAATAGGTTTTGAAAATTATGGGTTTTTTCGACGGCCCAATATGACACTTTAGGCTTATTCGAATTTAGGGTGTTATAGGTAAAGTGTCAAATGCAATTCATTGTCATGGTAATAGCTCCAAGTTTGAACCAGATCACTACAGATGATGAAATGGAAAATGTGAATCCAAATGTTACCCTTCAAAGTACGAGCAAGGTTGGTCTGCCACAATTAGGGGTGGATATTGTCAATCGGGTCAAAGACAAACTGACATGCTTGGTGACTCAAGGCAAGAATGACAACTCTTGTTCAAAGAATAACCAAACAACTATAACATCAAACTCAAATAGGGTAGATGCAAGAAGCAATATGGGCCATTAAATGACAAATATGATGGTAGAAATATCAATGTTGCTCCTTTTTTATTAGGTGATGAACCCACTGTGAAAGTCCAAGAGAATAGTAGTCGTGGTGGCAAACATGTGGTAGTCAGTGATAAATCTCCAAAAGAATTATTATTTAAGATCTTTTTACTAGGTTGAGATTGAAATTTAGCATCATTAGGATCATATTAGGTTTATTTTTTCATATTTTACATCATTTGCATCATGGGAGTAAGTTGGTGGAATTTAGGTTGATTTTAATGTTTTATGCTAAAAACTAATACGCTGATGTTGTGTTGCAATGATGTGACCAGATCTGAACGAGATCTGACTGAAGTCCACCCGAACCTGAATTAACCTGGTCTTTATCTGCTTCGGACCTGAATTGTTTTTACCTGAACTGACATCGATCTGAACTGAAAATGATCCGACCTAAAAATGACCCCGACCTGAACCCGATCTAGATCTGGTGTCAAATCAACTTGAAAATAACCCGAACTGATTTGATCTGACCTGAATTCGATCTGGATCTGGTGTCAAATTAACCTGAGTTGACCTGTACCCGATTTTTCCCGACCTGCCAAGATCTGACTAAAACATGTCTGATTACCTGATTTTAGAGCCCTAGATTTGTATGGTGGGCGACAACAATGGAGGAAGGTGAAGATGGACTGTGGAAGATGAAATAGTTGGATAAATGTCCTACCGAACCCTCATAGTCACAATAAAAAGACAAAATCGACAATACGACTCTAAACAACCCTTCTAATTGCAATGAGAAGACAAACCTGAGTGTGAAAATGTCTATCTCAAGAACTTGAAAAGAACTCAAAGGAAAATAAACATACTTACGTTGTATTATTATTCAAAGAAAAGATGATGGTTACAATGGTGGGATGAGCCTCCTTTATATAGGTGAAGAAGAATCATTGATGTAACATGGCTATGTAATAAATTAAAGATGTCCTAATAGCAATAAACTAAAGATAATTATTTTAACTTTATCTTAATTTTTAATAAAATAATAAATATAATCCTAAAATATAATATATTATCTTATATTGAATTATATTATAAATAATCAATAAAAATATTAAAAATTCGTAATATTTATAAAATCTCGTACTAATTTATATAAAATTTTCTGCATGTTTTGTTTTCATTAAAATTGACATATCTTGAATTCCGATATTAGCCTGAAACAATTCAATAATCAATGGAAAGTTAAAAGAAACCTGATCATAACTCTAAAAAACATTTTGATCAAATAAAGAAGTCGCAAGTCTGCTGCTCTACAACTCTTTTTCAATGCTTTGTCGTGCGGATCACTTAGAAGTCGGACTGTGAAATAACGCTACGCGGATCACCCGACCCTACAAAACTCTTTTCCCCCCGTCTTCTTCAACCCTTGTTCGAATTTAGATCGACCAGAAAAAAGGTTCGCCCTTTCAAAACCCTAATTTCTCATCTCTTCTTTTATCGCTTCTCTTGCTCTCCCTTCGATTTTCACTGCTTCGTATAACGCATTGTGATTCGCTTTATGTTGTTGGGTTTCTAGGGTTTTATTCGAAGCATTCAGCAACTTCTTTGATTTTCCTGGTATGCTCTTTTTTTCCCAACTCTTTGTCTTACTTTGTTTCCGTTAATGCATATTTAGTAAAAATAGGGAAAAAAAAGTTCGGCTGCCATTCAAGAATTGATTCTTTGGATACGAAAATTAATGGGAAAATGGGACCCAAGTTTTGGCTCATGGCATTTCGTCTTGCCTCGTTTAATTTTATGTCTCGCAATGTTAATTCAAATTCTTTAATGTTTGTTGAATTTGCTTTCTGCTTCTCTCTTCTTCTTTTCTCTCAGTTCGAGGTCAAAGAATTGTGGAGTGTAAGAAATATATAAAAGATGTTTGGTACAACGAACCGTAAGTCTTTTTATCTCCTCTCTAATCTTTATTGCTGAAGTGAAATTGAGTTTTGGATTCGATTCTTTGAGCTGATGTATGTATGGGTGTTAGTTGATTCTGTTCTTTCAAACTAGAAGTTCATGGATACTAACTTTATGCAGTCGTTTTAAAATTTTGAACTTTTATTAGTCTTTACATCAAGTGTTAGCTTATTCGTTCAAAAAAATTCGTAAATTTCAATGGTAATATTCACTGATTACTGTTATCTCTTCTTATTCCCTTTGAATGTTTACCAGTATCATTTTAAGATAATCTTGTTCTCACTGTCGGGGCTTTACTCTACATCACATTGTTAATACAAAAAGTGTATCCTGATTTTGATATGTTTCGTGGCTTGACCTGCTCTTAGTTATACTATTCTAATTAGAAAAAAAATTGTGCTTGTTATTCGTTAGTTGTTTGTGCATTGCCTGTGAGATGTATATATATCTGCTTGTATTTTTTTCATCAGTGTTTACATTTTGTTTCCATCTTTAACTAATATGTGCATATTTTTTTAGAATAAATTTGTTTTAAGTTGTTACATGAGAATTTTTTTTTTCAAAAAATAAATGATTGTTGGTAAACTCTTTAAACAGCTTTTGGGCAACCAACAAGTAGCCCATTTGCATCCCAATCTGCTCTCGGCCAATCCAATCCAAGTAGCAATCCATTTGCATCTAATTCTTCCTTTGGTAGTCCAACCCCTTTTGGCTCCCAAACAGGGGGTTCAATATTTGGCGGTACTTCTACTGGCGTGTTTGGTGCAACCCAACCTTCTTCTCCATTTTCCTCGACAACAACCTTTGGCGCATCATCATCTCCTGCGTTTGGAAGTTCTATGCCTGCTTTTGGAAGTTCATCTTCATCTTTTGGTGGTAAGTGTATCTGTAGCTTTTTTATTTTCTATCATTATAATTGAGTTCTCCTCCATTTCATATTCTTTTTGCTCTAGTACAATATAAGTAAACAATGTGATTGTGATGCCATCTGGTCTTTTGGTATTTTGTGGTGCTTCAGTGTTCTAGTACCACACGTGTAGATCATTGAGTACTCTAGATTCTTAACATAAATTAATATATTAAAATTTAATTAGTTGTAATTTTGAATTTCTTGGCGATGGAAGAATTTAATGTTTCATTAGATATTCACCTGTTTATTTCATTTCGTTGATCACCTTAATATGATCTAGAATGAGAGCAACATTTTCATAGCTAGTACCTGTTATTTTTATTTACATGCATTGCTTGACCTTTTAACCATTAGCTGTTGGTTTACTTGGTGTCTATTTTGTTATTGTTAAATTGATTACTACTTTTTATAGGCTCTTCTGCTATTGGTCAGAAGCCAGCATTTGGTTTTGGGTCTACTCCTACTCAATCAAGTCCTTTTGGAAACACAGCACAACAATCACAGCCTGCATTTGGTAGTGGTATATTTGGATCTTCCACACCCTTTGGTTCAACTCAGTCTGCCTTCGGTGCCACGAGCAACCCTGCCTTCGGTGCCACGAGCACCCCTGCCTTCGGTGCCACGAGCACCCCTGCCTTCGGTGCCACGAGCAACCCTGCCTTTGGTGCCACGAGCACACCTGCCTTCAGTGCTACAAGCACACCTGCCTTCGGTGCCGCAAGCACACCTGCCTTCGGTGCCGCAAGCACACCTGCCTTCGGTGCCGCAAGCACACCTGCCTTCGGTGCCGCAAGCGCACCTGCCTTCGGTGCCACAAATGCACCTGCCTTCGGTGCAACAAGCACCCCTGCCTTCGGTGCCACAAGCACCCCTGCTTTTGGTTCAACTGGGAGTCCAGCATTTGGGAGCACTGGAACTGCATTTCGAGGATCAAGCACACCTGCTTTTGGTACATCTAACACTCCTGCTTTTGGAGCTTCAGCTTCTGCTTTTGGGGGTTCAGCCACTACTGCTTTTGGAGCATCTTCTACTCCTTCCTTCAGCTTTGGGTCTAGCCCTGCTTTTGGGCAATCAACATCAGCATTTGGTAGTAGTCCTTTTGGGACAACTACAGTTGGAGCACAAAGTTCTCCTTTTGGTAAGTAATTATTAAGTTTACATGATCAATTATAACTTTGAAGTTGATATTGCTTATACTAATAGGAAAGATATTTATTTCATTGGCCATACATGTTGCATACCAAGAAGTTTATATATACGCATACATACACTTACATCCACAGATATCACTTATAGGAAAAATTTATATATTTGATTGGCCATGCACGTTGCTTACCTAGGAGTTTATATATGTGTATACATACACACATGCACATATATAATTGTTGAATTCTTTTTGAGTTATGTAGGAAGCCAGTCTTCGTCTCCTGCATTTGGAAGCACAACCTTTGGCCAGTCTGCCTTTGGGGGTCAACGTGGGGGAAGTAGAGCAGCTCCGTACACGCCTACTACTGATGCAGATGGTGGGACTGGTACACAGCCTGCTGCAAAGTTGGAGTCCATATCAGCGATGCCTGTTTACAAAGATAAAAGTCATGAGGAGCTCAGATGGGAGGATTATCAGTCTGGAGATAAAGGTACCTTATGTCAAAATACTGTAGATCTTTGAAAGTTAATCGTTCTCATTTTATGTGTTTGACATTGACTTAGTTTGCTGTATTAACTCGAAATATCAGGTGGTCCACAACCGTCTGCTCAGCCTTCTGGAGGAATTGGATTTGGTGTGTCAGCTGCACCTACACCTGCACCTGCACCTGCTAATCCTTTTGGCGGCTCTTCATCATTTGGTCAAACATCTGCAAATCCTTTTTCCAGCACAAGTGCCAATCCATTTAGTTTAAAACCCCCATCCTTCAATAGTACAAGTTTGTCGACCTCGGCTACTACATCAAATCCTTTTCAACCAACATCATCTAGCCTTTTTGGCCCAACCTCATCAACACCACCTTCGATATTTAGTTCGACAACTTCTACATTTGGAACTGGTTCATCTCCTTTTGGATCATCTTTCACTCCTTCATTTTCATCTTCGCCATCCATATTTGGTACCGGTGCTGCTCCAGCAACAACTCCCACATTTGCTACTGGTTTGAATTTTAGCAGCAGCAATGCATCTTCTGTGTTCAATTCTACACCTGCAATTGGGCAGACAACCTCTACATTTGGACAAAATACAAGTAATTTTGGTATCAATGCACCTTCCTCTGGGTTTGGTGGGAACGTGTTTTCGAGTTCTCCGTCATTGGCTCCTAACAACGCTGCTGGCTTTGGCTCAGTAACTGTAAGTCACTTGTGAAATCCCTTCCATCATTTTCCTTTTTCATCATGAGTATGATCCTTTGCTTGTCTTATTTTGTTTAGAGGTAAGCTGGAATTTCTGTACAATTTCATTATGTTGTTGCAGGGATTCAGAATTATCCTTCTTTCTTTATTGAATGGAGAGTTCAAACTAATTGTAGTTTTATGTCTTGTGGGGTTTAGATGCTCATTATTTTATTGAATGACGAGACATAGATGATATCTTTCTGGGGATAATTTTTATTTTTCTAAAGACGAGGGAGTATGGACCTTTGTGACTCTGATTGGATTAAACATCATGACTACTTATTGATTATAACGTGTTTTAGATATTTTATTGAAAAAAACCCAGATGTGCTAACTTTTTATGATTTGAGTTTTGCTGCTTATAATTTGCAATAATGCTCCGTAGGTTTATGCAATTGTCTTGTGTAAACGTGTATGCTATCTTACCTGTTTTTGATTCTTAACAAGTTTGGCCCATTGATGCTGCAGCCCTCTTTTGCATCACCTTTTCAGCCGACACAGACTGCTGGTGCTTTTAGCTTTAGTAATCTTGGTCAGACGCAATCAGGTTGGACATTTTATCGTGAATATTATCATTGAATGTGATGAGTGCGCCTTTTTCACAATGCTGCTGACTACAATGATTTTTCTGTCTTTATAGGTGGTGGATCAAGCATTTTTGGTCAGAGTAATGTTGGCGTACCGTATGTTCAATATCCATTGAGTTTTGGTTCTGTTTTCACGATCACTTATAAACATTCTTTATACACCTCCAAGCATATCCATATCTATTACTAGTAATTTGTACATGTGTATTCCTGAACAATTTGTCCGTGGTTATCTACATTTTTCGTGATTTTATATTTTGTTAGCCTAACCCCTCATCCTCTTCTGTTTGGCAGGTCTATGACACAAAGTGCTGCTGTAGTACAACCTGTGACTATGACTATCAGTAATCCCTATGGAACCCTCCCTGCAATGCCTCAAATATCAATTAGTTGGTCTGGGTCAGCACCATCCGTTCAATATGGGATTTCTAGCATGCCTGTAACTTTCTGACATTGCCTTAGTAGTTTTCGAGTTTAATCTGCTTTTTTTTTCTATATATTATAGATTCTCTCTCTCTCTCCAGCCTCCCTTCTTTTCCTACCTCCCTTCATGCTTGATTTCCAATGGTTTTATTCAAAATTAAAATATAATATTGGTTGATTGGTAATCAATTTATCAGGTCATGGACAAACCTGCTCCTGTTAGAATATCGCCCTTATTGACTTCTCGACACCTTTCACAAAGACGGATTAGGCTGCCTGCAAGAAAATATCATCCTAATAACGAAAATCCAAAGGTGAGAGTGCTACACTGCTACCCATCTTGAAAATAGTAATTCTACCCTTCTAGTTTGAAATGTTATTGCATTACTGGGCTATATGATTTGATGGTTATATTTCTTGGTTTTGTTTGTACACTAATGTCTGTAGGTTCCATTTTTCAATGACGATGAAGAGACACCGAGCAAACCTAAGGCTGATGCAGTTTTTATTCCTAGGGAAAACCCAAGGTCTCTGGTCATTCATCCCGCAGAGAATTGGTCATCAAGAACATCTCTAGAGAAACCTTTACCTTTGGAGGATACATCCACTCCAGTACATGAAAATGGTAAGATACTTTCAATAGCCGAAGTATTTAACTTATTTGCTATTTCTAATATGAACCTTTTGATTGGCATGATTCTTGTAGAAAATCCAGCTGAAAATGGCCTTGTGAAGGAGCAAATTCATCATAACCAGAAAGCTAATGGAGTCCATGAGCGTGTGGCTGACATTGAGGCTCGAATGCCAAAGCTCCAGCAGTCTGATTACTATACAGAACCTAGAATCGAAGAACTGGCAGCAAAGGAAAGGGCTGAACCAGGGTACTGTAGCCATGTCAAGGACTTTGTGGTTGGGCGGCATGGTTACGGAAGCATCAAGTTTCTGGGAGAGACGGATGTGAAAGGCCTTGATCTGGAGTTCCTCGTCCAATTCAACAACCGCGAGGTAATTGTTTACATGGATGACAGCAAGAAACCTCCTGTTGGACAAGGTCTTAATAAACCGGCAGAAGTAACACTTCTCAACATCAAATGCTTTGACAAGAGGACCAGACAGCAGTATACAGAAGGACCAAAGGTTGAGAAATATAAGGACATGCTTAAGAAGAAGGCCAAGGACCAAGGAGCCGAGTTTATCTCGTATGATCCTGTCAAAGGAGAATGGAAGTTCAGGGTAAATCACTTCAGTAAGTACAGGTTGGAAGAGGAAGAGGAAGAGGAAGAGATGTGTGCTGTTGCAGGTTGCTGATGTAAGAAGTTAGGGACACTGTTTGCTGCTCTGCTTCATTCCTGACAACTGTTGTTTTACGAAAGAGTCTTTTGTTGTGTATGTCTCCATGAATAGTTGTTTTGAATTGTGCAGAAGTTGGCAAATTGTGGTTTTGTCATGTTTTTTACTTGCTTGCAATGCTCTGACTATTGGATGTGGTTTTGTTACTTCTGAATTGGCATTTTCATATTATGGGAAACGGCTTCCTATCATAGGGGCAATCAAGTTATTTTGTGGAAGATTAGCGTTGAGATGAGTCCTCTTGAAAATTTTAAATTCTCATACAAGTATTTTTTTATATTTTTTATTATTTATTTTCACATCTTGAAATTTTATATGTTTTTTATATTATTAAATGACTAATATTGAAGGACTAAGATTAATATACAAACCAAGCGATATTAGTGGTTAAGAGATTTTTATCTCTTAAGTTTCTTGGTTCGAGCATCATTTATATACAAAAATATAAGCATTTATTATTAAATGGTTGAAATTTTTTGAATAGTTACTATCTTTGTATTCATTTTATATTTATCAAATTAATATATATTTTAGATATATTTTAACACTAATAAAATTTTATAAATTTATCCTTCTCAAAAGTTTAAAAATTGACCTCCTATCCTAAGATATTGCGAATACCCATATTTTCAAAGATTATTGTCTTAACCTGCCATTTGGATGATTTTCTATTTGAAAAAATGCTATACCAGACAAGGAAATTGAGTAGAGGCATCAGCATCTGGAGTTGATGGCTAATAAAATGGTAAAACTCGAAACGTGGGAGCATCTTATTCCCATACTGATTATGCATTCCACTGCCTAGTCGAATAAGTTATGCTTAACGTGTTCAAACGTGTCATTCCACAAGCCTATAATAAATAAACCACCCGTGGCTGACATGGAAGATGTAGGTGTGTTTTGCGGGCAACTGTTCACCCTGAAATTTGAATATCTTTCGGTTAATTATTTATTATACTTATGATATCCACCCTGAGCTTTTATTTGTGTTCATCCTATTCAATTCAATTCATTTATATTGTTGATATACACGTATTCATCCTTAAAAATATTTATAGTTCCGTCACTGTGAGGTTATAAACTAGTTTTCATTTAGTGGTAGTGTTGAAACGTGGGGACAATTGTTGTGTGAGCTGCATGTAGTCTTATTGCATGCTATAAATAAGTGTTCGAATGTGTCATCCCTCAAATTAACCTGTACATGATATACCACCTGTAAACCAGTTTCCATTTAGTGGCAGATCAGAACTGAAAGCATGAACAAGTGTGGGTTTTACCTGGCAATGGTGGTAGCTCAATCTGCTTATGGTGGATCAAACATTCTCATCAAAATCGCCCTTGACAGAGGCCTCAATCAATTTGTGTTCGTTGTGTACCGCCACCTGCTTGCCACACTTTTGCTAGCTCCCCTTGCTTATGTTCTTGAAAAGTAAGCTACCTTAAACTTGCATCCATTTCAAAAAGAAGATGATGATGATAGCAATAATCTAGTAACTTGTTTTGCAAGCAGGAAAAAACGTCCTCCGCTTTCGATGTCGGTGTTCGGAAAAATATTTTTGCTGTCGTCTCTGGGAACCACCATTCATCTTAATCTCTACTATGCTGGTTTAGCTTACACTTCTCCGACTGTGGCCACTGCCTTGAGCAATGTCATCCCTAGTTTGACGTTTCTACTGGCAGTTCTCCTCAGGTAACTCTGGATCTAGTGTCGAAAAACGTAATCACAAAAAAAAAAAAAAAAGTAATTGTAACGGAATTCATGAAAGTCGTCACTGAAATAGTGATGGAGTTATTAGTGACGACTAAAATATTTTGTCACTATAATATTTAGTGACTAATTTGACACTTTTAGTGATCATTGGTAGTGTCACTAAAAATGTGTTTTCTTGAAGTGAGATCAATCATTATCTCATTCTCAACTTGTTGATGGAGCTAGTCGGTGGTGTCGTCAAAGGTTGGGGTCGGCTAAGAGTCTAGGACTATAAATGAGATGAGACACATCATGAGTTATTCGAATTTGACTCGGTCAACACTCCAATCGATGGATTCGACTCAAACTCAACCTGAATTCTTAACGAGCCAAAGCGAGATATTTGATATCAAACTCAAAAAAGTTCATGAGAAACTCGAAAAAAAATATATTAAAATTAAATTATTAATAATATTATCATGTATACGTTACCTTTTTTAAAAAATTACAATATAAAGCTTCCATGTATTGATAATCCATGTTCAAAGTTAAATCTGAAAGTGTTTTGACTTCAAGTTTTTTCGAACTCAATTCAAGCTTCAAATTTTTATTTGTAAGCTATTGAGTCGAATTGAGCTTCAATTTTTTATTTTGAGTTCGAGTTGGACACAACAATTTGAAGCTCGTGAGCTTTCGTGTCAAGTCGAACTCAATTTAAACTTTTCGAGTCAAATTCAGTAGTACTCGAATGCGACTCGACTCGTTTATAGTCCTAATACCAACTAAATTGAGTTCCCGGAGGTGAAGTTACGTCTTCGGAGGCATAAACAGTTGAATATTAATGCTTCTGTTCTGAGTTCAGGATGGAGAAAGTGAAGATTAGAAGTGCCAGAGGTGGAGCAAAGGTATTGGGCACCATTATCTGCATTGGTGGATCACTTGTTTTCACGTTTTGGAGAGGAGGGTTCCAATTGAAATGCTTTGTAGATAGGCCATTGATGAACATGCATGCATCTCAAGCTCATGCAAATCAAAGTTGGATCAAAGGGCCGGCTCTTGTTCTTGTCAGTTACATTGCTTGGAGTGGATGGCTGATTCTCCAGGTCAATATCATTTTTTTTATGTACATACAATGCAATTTCCTCCTATGTTTGGTATTAATTTCTGGTTCACACAGAATGAACTAATCGACTTCAATGATTAAAGCGATAATTGTTATTCCTAGAAGATTCGGATTTGAGTAGATCGTCTATAAGGGTATATGAAAATTTATTGTCAAAAAGTTGATAGTTTACGTCTCCGACTAATGAAAAAAATTATACTTCACAGGCTACAGTATCCAGAGTATATCCAGCTCAATTGTCACTGAATGTTTATATTTGCTTCATTGCGTCGTTGCAATCTTCTGTTCTTGCCTTGTTCTTTGCAAGAAATCCTCTCCTCTGGAAGCTGGAGTGGAATGTGCAGCTTTTGACCATCATCTATTGCGTAAGTGTTCCATGCAGAATGCAGAGTTCAATTTATATACCATTTAGAGTAGGTATATTATTAAAAAAATGTCTCTAATTTTTTATTTGGAGCATTTTGGTTCGACAAACTTGATGGGTAATGCTTTGGAAGGAAATGGCTCGCATGGAAAAAGACGATCGGATTACCTGACGTCTTTAAGAAGGCGTCTGAAAGACGTGATGTCTTCATTAGGTTGCATGTAGTATGGACTCCTAATTTAATAGAGTGTCATTTCAGAAGACGTCGTGTCTTCCCGACGTCTTTCGGAAGATGATAGGTGATCCGATCGTTTTTCCTTGCACTGTCCATTCTACCCTATTTGAAAAAATAATTTCTCATGCACCTTATATGAGTCATTCTTTTTTCATACCACATTATTTAAGAAATTTTGTTATTCCAATTATAATGTTTTATTTTAAGACAAAAAAATTTCGATCGTTTGACTAAATAGTCACTTTAAATTTTTTTTAATATTTTGACCACCGATGTTTAATTTTAAGGCAAAAAAGTAACATTTAACTAAAATGTCACTTCAGTTCTTTTTTTTTAGTATTCCGGTCCTATCATTTCATTTTAAGATAAAATACCCATGTTTTAGAGTGCTGACTCTTTATTGACTAACAATATCCATTCACATATGAAAGATTTAATCAACCGGTAGAAGTACTTGTCGTCATTATGCTTTTACGAAAAATTGACATGTTTACATATAACATAGAGAGAAATTAAAGGGCTGTTTCAGCAATAAACCCTTACATAATTTTGCTGGGAATGGGTGTTTGTTGTAGGGAGTTGTTCTGTCAGCATTAGTATACTATTTGCAGATATGGTGTATAAGCAACAAAGGGCCACTTTTATTCTTGTAGTAGACATAATTTATTATTTTCGTCCCTATGTTATCTTCGTATCAATTTAACGCTCGAAGTTGTTTAATTGCGTCAATATTTAAAATATTTATTATTGTTTAGAGATTTAAGTTGGGGTTTATGTGTTACTATTTAGGATTTTAATTTAGGTTTTATGATGATGATGTTAAATAATTTTGAGGGCTAGATTGATGTGAAAATATCATAGGAAGAAAAATGATAAATCGAGTATGTTATAGGGGCAAAAGTAGCCCTTAAGCCAAATATTTAATTCTTTGGTTAATTCGATAATTTGGTCGGTTAATGCAGTTAAAACCAAAGTTTTAACACCTCTTAAGCTAAGTAATATATAAATAATACATATATATAATATCAAATATTTAATATTTTTGGTTAATCGATTAATTATGTTAATTAACCAATTTTGATCCGAATTAATCGATAGTCGAAGTTTGAAAAAATCAACAACCCTTAATCAATTGAACTTAAAACAACTAACCAAGAAAGATTTAAATCCAATCGATTAATTCAATTAAAATCGGATTCCGAACTCTAATTTGTGGGATTTTTCAGCTTGGTTGGAGCATTTCTGATTGTTTTGGGCCTCTACTTTGTACTTTGGGGCAAAAGAAGGGACAGTTTTGTATCCAGAGATGATGATGATGATAAGCCAGTAGCCACCGATGAACCACTCACAAGAGAGGGAATATGATGAGCAAGTCACAAATTTAAAAATTAAGGGGAAATATTCCTTAATGTTATCAATTTGTTCGATTTTAATTTTTTTCGCTATTAACTTTCATCAATCTCTTTTTATTTAAGTTCCTAACATGACTTGGGGACTAAAATCGAACGACAATTAACGACTGAAGGACTAAAATCGAACGAATCGATAATATTAAGGATCATTTCCCTTTAATTTTTAAATTAATGACTAAAATCGATCAAACCGAAAATATAAGAAACTATTTGTATAATTTACCTTTGAAAATATTACTTTATAATTCTGAATCCACCAAATAACTTAAGTGGTTTAAGAGAATCTTATTTTTTTTTTTTTTACTGATTTTGAGTTTAAATAACAATCGTACAATTTTATCAAACTATTATTAAATTAGATTATTTGACTCTCTATATAAAACTCTATAGCCAT